CATGGATCATCGTTCCTGGGTGCGCAGGACTGTGCACCCCCTTGCTCCAACATGTACTTCAAACCACACGACATTGAATTTGCGAAGAGCTTTATCGGCGTGTGCTCCATCATCTGCCTGGGCGCCACGCTCTTCACCTTCCTCACTTTCCTCATTGACGTCAAACGTTTCCGCTACCCAGAGCGCCCCATAATCTTCTACGCCGTCTGCTACAGCTTTGTCTCGCTTATATACTTCATTGGTTTCCTGCTGGGGAACAACGCAGCCTGTACCAAAGCGGCTCACCCTGCCAGTGTGGACACAGTGGTGCTGGGCTCTCAGAGCAAAGGCTGCACTCTGCTTTTTATGCTGCTCTACTTCTTCTCCATTGCTGGTATAGTCTGGTGGGTCATACTCACCATCACCTGGTTCCTGGCAGCTGGACCCAAGTGGAGCTGTGAGGCCATAGAGAAGAAAGCGGTAAGGTTGTTAATAATTGGTTAGTGGTAAAAAGCATGAGAATACAGCAAAAGTATAGCTATAAAATGAGCACATGCAAGCTATAACCAGGCAGTAAAATGGCAGATACTGTTGAAAATATGGATCTGTGTCCTCTGTCTTTAGGTGTGGTTCCACTCTGCTGCCTGGGGGATCCCCGGGGCGCTAACAGTCATGCTGCTGGCTCTGAACAAGGTGGAAGGGGACAACATCAGCGGCGTTTGCTTTGTAGGGCTCTACGACCTGGACGCCCTGCGTTACTTTGTCCTGGCTCCTCTGTGCGTGGGCGTCGTAGTCGGCCTCTTCCTCATCCTGGCGGGCATCGTTTCTCTCAACCACGTCAGGCAGGTCATCCAGCACGACGAGCGCAACCAGGAGAAGCTGAAGAAGTTCATGATCCGCATCGGCGTGTTCAGTTGCCTCTACCTGGTCCCGCTGGTCACCCTGTTAGCCTGCTACACCTACGAACAGAGTTACCGCAGCACCTGGGAGAATACCTGGATCAACGACCGCTGTCAGGAGTACAGCATCCCCTGCTCCCACAAGGTACCTGTGGCTGATTCACTCGCTGAAGGTGTTATGACTCAACAAGTTAAAGATTATATATACACAAAATGTACAAAATTTCAGTTGCCACTGGATGTCACATTAAAACACCAGCATCTCAAACCAAAATAGTGGGACAGAAGTAAAACAAAACTCATCAAAACCGTCTCTGTTAGTCTTTCCATAGTCCAGCAGTTGCCAACACTGGTTTGGTTGAAATATATCTTGAATTCATGAGAAAAAGAGCTGTTTCAGTCGGTCTACTCAGCTGCACATGGAGCAGACTGGGTTTGTATAAACAAAGCACAAAGAGACTGCGATAGCAACACAGGTAGAGGAAGTGTGACGTCATCTCAGCTCAGGACACCATGACTCCACTGTATCTTTACATACCAAATAGTTTTTTGCAGCTATGTTCATGTTTTAAATCTCATATATATGTATTATATGTATTATATGTATAACATTTAAGGCCAAAGGACACATTAGAAAAGGCTTTCCAACTCACTGTCTTGTTATGTCTACTTGATTGATGTTGTTGATTGTAGGTCTGTGCTTTGTTGGTTGGACTAAAGTTGGGCTTGCCAGTGATCTTTTAAAACTGTTAGCACACACATGATTTAACAACAATGTGACAATTCATCTTTTAACTACATTACACCAAAAATGACTCTCGTAGAATGCATTAAGGTGTTAAACTGAGCCGACGGCATTAGGGTGTAAATAATAAAGGAAACTGCACATTAAAAAGTGCTTTTGAGAACCATCTGAACCACAAAGACTTGTATCCTCCTACTGTTGTCTCTAACACACGTACTTAATTACTTTTAAAATTAAATAACAGTCTAGTCTGGCCAATCCCTAAATGGGCCACTACATCTGTGTGACAAGTGCGATATCCAATGTGAAATTAAAACTACCACATATAAATATTTAAGCAGATGTTGTAAAAGAGGCCTGACAGTCAGTGTTATTTTATATGTGGGTTTTTCACATAAGCTAGAGCAGACCACATAGGAATATAGAAGAAAAACAATCACTAAAACAACAGTAGATTGCATATCTATATATTTTATAAAAAGGCTGTCTATTTAGAAACCAAACAAGATATTGTGGGCTGTCGTGGAGCCACAAAGTACAATGTGAAAGAGAAAAACAAATCTGTATCTGAGGCTATTAGTTCAAAAGCTTTATTTTGTGCCAAGTTGAAAATTGGGTTAGTTGGTTGACACTCATTAAATCACAAGGATTCTATTATGGTTTGTGTTGGTCTCTTTGTTTCAGACAACAGAGCTCAACCGCCCTGACCTCTCCCTGTTTCTGGTAAAATACTTAATGACGCTGGTGGTTGGAATATCTGCAGTGTTCTGGGTCAGCAGCAAAAAGACCTGCTCTGAGTGGGCCTACTTCTTCAACCGGACCCGCAAGAGAGAGTAAGACCACGTCTCTCGCCCTGTTACATGTATAAATTCCATGAAAAATAAATAAGTAGTGTCACTATAATCTCCTGTTCTCTGACCCACAGTCCCATCAGTGAGAGCCGCCGGGTGCTGCAGGAGTCCTGCGAGTTCTTCCTCAAGCACAACAGCCGCGTCCAGCACAAGAAGAAACACTGCAAGCCGAGCTCCCACAAGCTCAAGGTCATTTCCAAGTCCATGGGCACAAGCACCGGCGTCGCATCCACCAACGCCACCACCGGCGCCTCCACTGGTGCCGCCGCAACCAATCAAGGAACCTTTGCGCTGGGCAATCACAAGCCCCACATGCAAGGCTCTCTGTCTGAGGTCTCAGCCAGGGAGCACCTGGAGAGGGGCACCTCCAGCCGAAGCTCCAGGAGGGGGGAGAGGGAAAGGGAGAGGGAGAGGGAGCGAGAGAGGGAGAGAGAGAGGGAGCGAGAGGGGGGAGAGAGACGTAGCAAAGGTGGGAGCTCCAGTAAGATCAGCAGCCGCTCAGAGAGCATGCACAAAGTCCCAGATGGGAGGTAAGTGAGACAGCAACTTCACTACACTTGTTCTTTTGCATCACAGCTCTGTTTATGTAGCTTTTTCCTCTCTTCTATTTGTTAGCAGAGACTGTATATGCTCCAAGTAATCTCCACCAATAATCTCTAATGTGTGCTGGCTGGTTTAGGATGACACCGAGGAGCGAGTTGTCAGAGGCCAGGCAGGTCCCCGGTGGTCAGCAGCATCCAGCTTTAAACCTGTCACACAGCAGCAGCATCCAGGACTCCACCCACCAGCTGGTGCACCGGGTGCCTGAGGAGAGCAAGGACACAAAGGATAGCAGCTGCTGAGACATATCATCCCCAAATGTATCATCCATCCATCAATCGATCCTTGAACCCACTCACAGTCACACTTGATGCTGGTTCCTGTATCTGTTTCAAACCATAGTACCCATTTGTGTCATATATCATATAAGCTTCGTACATCAGATTATGATTGTATTGGTTACGTTGTTGTCAGTGAATGTTCATTGTAACATACCTCGAGTATTTCAAATGTAGTATGCTTGGAGCAGAATCTGTGGGAGCCTAACGGCGTTGGATTGTCATTTAGTTAAGGTGACAGCTGTGTCTTTCAGCTTTACTGAGCGTATGTCCATTTAGTATACACCTGAATGTTGCAGCAGCTGTTCACCACCAATACATCTACCAATGGTCATTTAATTTTATAGCATGCATTAAAAACTTTAGGTCTACTGTTTGGTAGATTTGTAGCTCAGTGGCATAGAATGCGTTCTAGTAAACAAATGCAATATTTATGTAAATACTCTATTTTTTAGAAATTAAGTCTTTCACTGGACTAGTCACTACACTGAGTGTTACGTTAAGAAAGGTCATGATATTGCCAAACATTCAACTTAAGGAGAGTCTCCCTGTGGTAAACTCTTTCTTTGAATGTCTTATTGTTCTTCCTGGAAAGATGGTTTGCACTCAAACCTCAACTTGTGATACGCATAGTGTGCTACTTTATTGCTCCTTTGAAAAAAAGGCATACTCTCACTACTTAAAATTGATATAGTTGATTTTTAGACAGTGTTGGATTTGTGATTTTCCTTTGACAAAGTTTTTTTTCAAAAACTTTCACTCCGTTTCTGTTCTGTATTTACTGTGCTGAGTTGTCTTCAAAGAAGTGTCCAGTGAGTTTGGATAAAGGATAGCTTTATAGTTTTCTACAAGAATGTGCCTTCCTTTGAGCAGTTCCTCATCTTTAAAGAACTTCAAAGAATCTCCAGGTGTTTTGTATGTGTGATGTCTGCCTGTTGTAGGTGTAAATTCATGTGATTTTTAGTCAAATTGAGGAAACAAATCAAACAGGCTTTGCACTATTTGTCATTAGAAGCACAAACCACTAATTATTAAGTATGAATAGTCATAAACAAACACAAAACAGAGAATTTGTGGCTTTGTTCAGGGCGTATTTATAACATATGGGTCACAGACCGTATATATTTGCTTTTAAGTACTTCCAGAACAACCTCTGTGATTTATTTGAATATCTGTCATGCTGTACTGTCTGTTTTGCTCTGTAAGGGTTTTATTTGTTTCTTTACTGTTGATATTTGGGAGTCACAGGACAGTTCCAGTAACACTAATTAAAAGGGAATCCTTGTCAGTATGTTTCTGTTGTACATGTATGTTCTTACTCTGGCATGTGGATGGGGGGGTCTTGCTTATAATGTACCTAGACTTAGAGTAGTCTATGAAATGCTCTACACCACTTTTGTGAACCTTTTTTTTTTACTGTTTTTTTATGTAGCCTATCTTGTCAGTTGAATTTTGTATCAATCCAATTTAATTTTAATAAAATATAATTGAATAAGAATGTCATGAGTGTGTTTTTATTCTATTTATGGTAGATTCGACTTTTAAAACCACTAATATTTTCACAAGCACTGCAGATGGTACACAGATCTGGTCAAATCTAATAAAAAAGGACGCTATTAACTCCACATTCTGCACACTGGCAGGATTACAGGCGCTATACGAACACCATGGGGATGTTCTCAGCCTTTTTCCTTCGAGTGCGTTTCCTGCAAGTTGACTGGCTCCTTCCCTCTCGTCCTGCCCACCTCTGGACTGAAACCCTGGCTGGAGTTGAAGACCAACTGTCGCCTCAGGTCTCTCAGAGGGAGCGCACGGTTGTCTCTTGTATGATGTCTCCTCTCGTTGCCCGCCTGCTGCTCCTCGTCTGCTTGGCTTTACCTCTTTATGGCGTGGAAAAGGTGAGAAATAGAGGATACCGAAAGGATCCTGACGCTGACAAGGTAAGAGCGACTTCGTTAGGGAAGAGTTCACCATATAGTCGCTATGATCTTTTCCAGAAGTAGATATGTGGCATTCCAGGGGAGATTTACGCGTTTTGGACACATTTCGTGGCCTCTCATAACGAAGAATCACATATAAGTACAAATATGGCACTAAAATGACTAGATTGTCACTCATCGCTTTTGTTGTATTTTTGATGCATCTTTATTAACGTGCATGTCCCTAAAACTCATCCTGGGATTACTTTTTCTTGCGGAATGCTTTGCTGTTTGCCAGAAGTATCTTTAAACGACTGATTTCCCCAAAAAGAGCAAAGTAATATGCTGATTCATCCACATGGTCCACATGTAGGGCTTACAGTGCAGGCAGTGTGGTCACCGCTTTGGCAAAACGGGCTCCAAAATGACCTGCTCCCAGAGGCAAAGATGAGGAAAAGGCCGTTTTATAGCCTTTGTAGGGTCAGCTGGTTCTCTATTATTCCAGCTTTGGCTGCTCTCCAGCAGACTGAGTGGACAGAAAGAAATCCCCTAACAGGAAGTTGGGGTCTGGCTCATGCTGTCTGTCTGTCTCTCTTTGTTATCTATGTGGCTGTTTTACCAGCTTAAAAAAAAAACAGCTGTATGATTTTGTTTTGGGGAGAAAATGTGATAAATGTGTTATAATATATCTGATCATATTTACAAAAAGTCCACAGCGCCCAATTCATACCATCCTCCAATCTTAGACTATCTTTGTGCAGATGTACATGAGCCTCTATGCTGTAGGTGGGGAGTGAAGGAACAAAGTGGACCCACATTTCTCTCTTTAATCTCTGGGGAGTCAAATGAAAGTGAAACTGGTGTTTATTTTGCTGGGACTCTGTGGACCTCCCTCAGGGACTCCTACAAGTCTGCACACCCCACTTAGAGAACCACAGAGCTCCACCAGTTGCTCTCCATTATGCCCCACTGAGTCATATTCCACGATTGAGCCCACAGCAGAAGGATATAATGAATAGCATCTTATGTTACCATCTGTGTCTAGTGCACGGGAAATGATGCAGAAAAGCCCAACTGCACTAGACATTCTGGAGAAGGAAGATCGACTTATTTGAACAACATGGTAATCATGAAATCCTATTTTGCATCTTCTTCGAGATCCTCTGAATTGAAAGGCTCTCAAAGCAGAGCATTATGTCCACGCTCTGCATGCTCCAGGAGAGCTTCACTCCTTGCTTCAGTGTTGTGCATGAAATACTACTGCTTCCCTCAGCACTTTGGGGGCAAATGCAGCCTTTATGCTTCGGTTACAGTAATGGACTGTGTGCTACTAATATGCAGGCAGCACCACTAGCTATAGAAACAGCAGACAGTGGACAGAGGTTCCATTCATTAGTTTGCTTTGAAATGTCTCCAAGAAGTACAACCCTTAATAAAATACTGAGATATTTCCTTGCCGAATAACGACCAAAGGGATTCATATTGTATTTGCGGCGAATTTCCAGCTATTAGTCGAGGTGCTTGGACGTTTGGTCCCTTTTCCTTGAGGACAGATTCCAGGTCTATTACTGCACATGCATACCAACCCACAATCTCCTGGTTTCATCACAGACTTCCCAGTTTCCTATAGAGATGATGTCAGACTTCACATCTCCAGGTTGCTCCGGCATAGCCACTTAATGGCTAAAACAGACTCTGGACCATCTGTTTCACTGCAGCTGACTTAGAAATATTGTAATTCTCCCTACATTTAAGCATTTTCCAGATTCACGTGGTCTGAAATAGACTTTTTTTGAATTCTCCCCAGGGACTTAGGTCGAGACGAGATGTTGAAACCGGAGTAAAAGCTCTTTGTTCTCCTCGCTTGCCGGAGGACTTTTATTTTTTTACCCAAATGTCTTTTGGCCATGTGCCCCTATAACTGCTTCACAGCTGCATGTGGAGCAAAAGGTCAGCAGTGACCCAACAAAAGCCCAGTCCTTAATCCTTTTGGCATCAGTGTTTGCTAAAGGGCGAGGGCGCTCTTCTACGTGTCAGTTTATGTCTGTGCCGACTGAAGGAAGGAGTATATGACACTTACATCACATAACCAAAGTTAAACTCCCAACTAAAAAAAGCTTCAACAGCTAACCTACACACTGTAATCAGTGGGTCAAAATGTCTCTTTGGAGGACATATTACACAAAGCTATCTTGGATCTTAATTGTTTCTATCTCTGTATGTGGTGGAGAAGTTTTGGCAAGCTCCCCCACATCTCTGTGTGTACTTGAGTCAGCTTGAGTAAGATCATCATCTGTTTAAACATAGCAGGAGATTCAGACGGACAGTGAATCACACCGAGGGATCTATGACCAGACACCTACTAATTCAGGCAGTCTCCAAGCCTTCAGTTCCTCATTAACGTGCGATATGTCATTCACTTGCTTCATGGCTCCATGGTGTGCTGGTTCTATGGCTTTGCCTTGGTTTGGATCACATCTGTTCTTGCACTCATTTCAGCCCTATGGCAGTGGATTTGTTTATATGACTGGTTAATGAGGTATAATCAGGCTTTTTGTGTGTGATGGTTGGATGAATGGTAGCATCAAGGCGTATTTTGCATTGCATGCAGGCCAAACAGCAGCTTATCCCCCTGGAAGGATAAAGAAAATCTGAAACAGGAAGTCAAATAACAATAGACTCTGCAGATGTTGTCGCATGACTTCTTTTCATTGTCAACTTCCACCACTACTTCCTCTTTTCCCTGTTTTTTTTTCAGTATGGCACTTGCATGCAGGGGCCGGCAGGCACTCCTGGCAGGGAGGGTAACCCTGGAACCAACGGCATCCCGGGGACGCCGGGCATCCCTGGCCGTGACGGGCTCAAAGGAGAGAAAGGGGAGTGCATTAATGAGATCTTCGAGGAGCCCTGGAGGCCCAACTACAAGCAGTGTGCCTGGAACTCTCTGAATTATGGGATCGACCTGGGTAAAGTAGCTGTAAGTATCTTGGCACAGCGAATATCTGAGTGTGGGTGTCCATTTCAATCATTTTACAAACTCACAGAAATGGTGAACAACCACCACGATGCATAGAAGTGCCAAAAGGTCTTGATGCTGTGTTGCAGGACTGTACGTTCACCAAGCTGCGTTCAGACAGCGCCCTCAGAGTCCTCTTCAGTGGCTCCCTCAGACTCAAGTGTAAGAACGCATGCTGCCAGAGGTGGTACTTCACCTTCAATGGGGCAGAGTGCACAGGACCCCTGCCCATAGAGTCCATCATCTACTTAGACCAAGGAAGTCCTGAGCTCAACTCGACCATCAACATCCACAGAACATCCTCAGGTACGACTCAAGTCATACAGTAGGCTTTGTTGTGCTATAAACAACCTGAATCAACAGGTTGTTTATAACCCAATATGTGGGTTTTTTTATTGGCAGAAATGGAATATAATATTCATATGTATGTTATCATTAGTGTATAATCTCAATATAGAAATCTATGTGTTTTTGTTACCGTAGAATGAGACGTTTATTATCTATAGAGGGAGTGAGTATACGGTAGCCCGGAATGGACAAACCAAACACTGGCTGTAGATAGAGCCTTTTTTCTCCTACATGCTTGGAAGGCTGAGCTGTATTGTTAGTTCCAATCTGCACCTTCAACTCTAGATGCCCCTAAATCCTACACACTGGTCCTTTAAATGTAATCTTTTATTTACCCTTCTGAAAATGATCATTATTTTGAAAAGTCAAAACATACAAAATGATCCATATGGGTATCGTTAAAATTCTAACACAAAGTATAGCTTAGACAGGCCAGAGGCTTCAACCCCTTCTATTTTATTTATATTTGCTACCTTCAGATTGAGCCAAGTTAGCTGCTTCCGTTTCTTTGTGCTAAGATAAGCTCACCGGCTGCTGGTTGGATCTTTATATTTACCAGAGTGGCATCAATCTTCTCATCTAACTCTCGGCAAGGGAGCAAATAAGCATATTTCCCTGTCCCTTTAAGTGGTTATTTAACTGCTGTGGTATAGTTACACTGTCCCAATTAGGTTTGGGAAAGTTCATCACTGTGTCAGAAAACAAAACAGTTAACAATTTCTGTCTCTGGAAGCAGTTTGGGTGTTCCCTGAAATTCATTTTCACTGTCTTCTTCTCTTCTCTCCAGTTGAAGGGCTGTGTGAGGGTGTGAAAGCAGGGTTGGTGGATGTGGCCGTGTGGGTTGGGACCTGTGCCGACTACCCCAGAGGTGACGCATCCACAGGGTGGAATTCAGTATCCAGAATTATCATCGAGGAACTGCCCAAATAAAATAAAATGTTTCATGTAAGGGAGGGACCGGTGCTGGTAGTATAACAGTAGGGTCATCTGGCCCTCCAAAATGATCAGGTTTGGTTTGCTGAGGGCTCACAGCATCACTGATGCTAACTTGAATGTTTTTATGTTGTGTTTAAATACTATACTAGTCGACAGGCCTATAAACAAAAATACTGTCATTCTGTCTAGCAGAAATAAACTTTGTACTGTAGCTTCTCTGCTTACGGGTGCTGTTGGTATACAGTCACCATTTAACAGACATTGTGACGAGACACTGACGATATTTAAACTATGTACTCATGTGACCTGTTTATATTCCTTATTACTGTTAATAAAGTCACCTTTTTTAAAGAACTGAACTCAAACTACGTGACCGCTTGTTTAGGAGTTTTGAAATAACATGCACTTAATTCAATGTAGCCACAAATGTTACGCATTTAATGTATTTATATACATCAAACACTGACAATGCAGATAAAGCATTTTGGACTTTATAATGAAATATTATAATGCAGTGCAGTTGCAATTTGTTGCCGGCAAACAAAGATAATCTGAGCAAAAGTACTGGCATGTTTGGAACAGAAATCCTCTCCGTTGCTGCTGTCTGCTTACATAAAGAAATAATTTAAAAGAGACAAACTAATATTACAAATACATGCAACTGGAACCCTGAGAAGAGGTCTAATTTGCTGTTTATAATCAGGTTTTCATATTTCAGCCTGTAATCCTTTCTGCTGTCAGAAAACATCAAATGTAAACAGAACCATGATGAAATATTTATCAAATGTCTATGATGAGCACGACGTCCTGACTTATACAAAAAGAGACCAACAGTGCAGCAGCATCACCATCACCTTTAGCACATACAGCAACATACTTTTCCCCATAAGTCAAAGTGTTTGTCATGCATCTATTCGTCCGTTCCGTTGCTCAGTTTGGCAAATTGTCCATTCATTTTCAGTGTAAATGAATGCTTCTCACATCATCACATTAACATATACACTCCGCCCAGAGTTCTGCTTCAGTCTGATGCTTTTCTCTCTGTATCTCTGAACGGCGCCAGAGCGTCAGTGTGAGCTCTCAGTCTCTGCAGCTGTCCATGCCATGCTTTTCAGACTCATTTATTCTGTCCCAATAGGAAGCGAGACACATTCTCATAAACTACGAAAGTGATGCAGCAGGCGGGAGTGACACGGATCAAGTTGGGGATGATGCCTTTGTAGAAACCAATGGCGCCTTCGTTCCTGCAGAGAAACGGGGAAAAAAATTACCGTGACTCAAACGGACATTATTTATTTTAACTCCTAAATTTAGTAACTGAGACCAGGATGGCATGTTAGGCCCCTTTCTGCGAGTGGATCGGTGTCATACCTCCACGTCCGTCCGATGACATCAATAACTCCATTGTATCTATTGTGCTGGTCTTGCAGGCGAGCTCGTACCACCTGATACGGGTATGTTGTGGCCACGGCAAATAATTTGGATAATGCTGCCATTGTGATGTATTCCAACGCATTCTGTTTACACAGATAACACACACAGATGGGGAGAGAGAGAGAGAGAGAGAGAGCGAGAGAGAGAGTAGGAAAACTGATGAGTCACTTCTTCAACTGCTAGTTATCAACTGTGGGCTCGGTCCAATAAACTGAAAAGTTACAAGCTTTATGAGATTTATTCAGCACTGAGCATGTTTCCAGACTGCTTGTGGCTCATGGGGGTTAATGACTCACCAGCTTCGCATCTGAAGGCACTTTCTTGTATTTGTTGTAGTCTCTCTTGAGCTCTTCGTAGGCCATGAACTGCAGTGCTCCATGAGAGGTGCCAAACAGACCAGGAACATAACCCTTTAAACAAGTACATCCTTTGTTAGACAAACTTTCATGACACTATAACTATAATATGCATTATCTATAAAAGCGCACTATACAACACTGTATCTATCAGTAGCTCCATGCCAAGTTAAAAGACTTTTTATGTGAGTTATGTGGTCGCAATGATCTTGCCAGGATAATAGATTTCACATAGTGAAAAAGCTCAAATGCAGCTTAAACCTCTGGATATTATCACCATTACTAATGGGTTACAAGTTCTCTACTACAGCTAATATAGGCTGGTGGTGCCCTCTAGTGGTCATGAACCAACACAAAACTTCATTTCAGCCCAATAGGATAAAGGATAGCTTTTGTTGTAGTAATTCCTCTAATAACACAGCTGTCCTGTCCTTAGGTTAGCATCTCATGTGTTGCTATATTACATGAAAGGTACACTAATGTCTGACCTTGTATAGTCCAGGCACTCCCTCATGGCGGTAGATCTTCACCAGAGCATCTACCATCCCATGGTACTGTTTACCATTTGGGTCAGCATTGTACTGCAGCACCAGCCGGGTCTTGGTCACCCAGATTGGGTTGGTGAGGGTGAGCGTTAGGATGCCTAGGTGAGGACAAGTAGGCATCGTTAGAACGAGGCTGACAGCAGTTGATTATTAACACACACAGCCAGCTTCTTCAAACAGTATATATATATTTTTTTTAAGTTATTTTTTTGGCCTTTTTATTGCCTTTATTTGATAGGGACAGCAGAAGGCAGACAGGAAAGGGGGCAGGTCGGATTCCAACCCTGGGCCGCTGCAGCAAGGACTCGGCCTCAGTACATGGGTCGCCTGCTCAACCAACTGAGCTACACATATTTACATCAGCGTCATGAATCTAATTAGCCTCTTTTTAAAGAATACATGCTGGTAACTTTTCAGTTACAGTCTATGGCTACTATGGTGCTCTTTCCTGACTCACATTAGATCCCTGAATACCGACTGAGCACAATCTGAATGACAAACTGAGTCAAGCTTCATAGACACAGTCCAAACTCTTTTACAAAAGGGTACTTTTAGTTAGAAATGGTTTCAAATCACAAATATGACAGTGACTTCTGTTCACTCAAACAGCAACATCTCAACCCAATAGATTATATAAGAGTGTATTTTTTAAGATTCTTGCGGCTTCACAGTACTTTATATAGGATTATGTAGCTTATTTTACCATCAGGAGTGCACAGAATATACAAATACTTAAATATCCTCCTGTATATACTGCACACTATAGGGTTTTCTGTAGGGTTTTCTTGGCCCCACAATATATGAAGCAATCAGAATGTAAACAATTGTTATTGTGCAAACTGCAATGTAGTAAAAACAGAACATACTGCTTAAATATTCAGTAAGATATTTTGCCAATCTTCTATTGCACAAGTAAGAAACAAATCATGTGTGCCATATTGTTTTGCCCTGTTAAGCAGAGTCAGTTGTGGGTTATTAATTGATGTGTTATAAAGTTATAACCGTTAGTAAGACCGGTACGCAGTTAAAATGGCTACCCGCTCAATACACACTACACAACTTGCCCCGATCATAGAGCTCGCAAAAACAATATTACTGCCTATTGAAGAGTTACAGCAGTTTCAGCTATGCACCGGTATGTTGGTATGTTAAAAGTTAATATCATACAGGAAATTAAAACCGGTTCACTCTGTATATCAGCTAGTACTACTTTAAGGAACATTTCTAGCTCATCGCTCTATATTGCGTTCAATAGTTTTAGAGGCAGTTGTGTTATTCCTAATTAAAACCACCAGCTTCATTTTCTGCCCCTAACTTCATTTGGCCTGCAGGAAGCAGATCCATGTGACCCTGTGAGGCTAAAGTGAACAGAATGAGCTGCTGGTTTGTATCTGCCTCCTGTCTGCTAAGGCCAGCTATGAGCAGTATTATCTGGTTGTTGTTGTGTACTGATTATGTGAGTGTGTCAACAGTGTCGAGTTCCCTGCAGGACCAACCTGCTCCGGCTGCAGACACCAGGTGCTCCGTGGCGCTCAGTTCAGTCTGACGACCCTCCTTCCTGTACCCTTTGATCGTATTGTAGCTGTATGGGAAGATAGCGTGGGAAAAAAGACATCTTGCGGTTACAGATCACTTTAAAGGTCGAAACAAGTCATGATAAATATCATGATGCAGCAGAGGTGATCCAACAGGTTTCCAGCTTACGTACAACAAAAAGTAGAGACCCCAAGATGCTCCAGCACCCCAAACATTGGGTGTCACTCCTTGGTAGAGTCCTCTCAGTCCCTCCTGCTGCCAAACACTCTTCATACAGTGTAATATGCCACTGTACTTGGGTCTTAAGTCCAAGCCATCACTTACTACATTGAAAGGACACCAAAGACCTCAGTTAAGCCATGTCCCGAATGTAACATCAAACAAAAGCAGTTCTTAAAATGGATAGAGTTAAGGCATTGCAGCATGGTACCATTGCCATTAAGCAAATCAATTTAAAAATACCAGATTTCTAACCGGAGTTCAAGGACAGGACACAAACTACAGCACTGCAGAGGACATTGTTACAATCAATCAATAGTTTAATATCGTACTGTACCTGCAAATCGGATTTTAACCAGATCCAGAGGGTGAAGCACCAGTGTTGACACCACACCTCCACTGAGTCCGGCGACCAGGTTCTCTACCCTCACATGGCTGACGACCTGCTGGACGTGTCCGGCTATTGAGAGAGCAGAGACGGGTTTGTTGGACAGCCCAGTCTCTGTAACGTTAACGGAACCGTGATTTGGAGCGGAGCTCATGTCTACCGGTGGAGCACTGAGCTAGCTCCTGTCAGCTAGCTGTGTTTACAACGCGAGTAATGCTAAAATCTTCCTTATAACACGACAACTTATTGACACTGCTGCACAATGTGTGAATATGGTACTAATACGGTACTAACTCCTGGAAACTTCCACATGTTCTTACTGGACTGGACCACGTTTTTGTCATGTGGGGGAAGCCCATGGCTGAGGTAACGTTATCCTAAATGTCAAACAGCAGTGGCACAGCTCGACCTTGCTGCTAGTAGCAAGCAAATGTCAAGGTACCATAATTAAGAACAGTGCTTCCGGCCTCAACCTTCAAAATAAAACAGTGTTAGCGCATTACTTCGGTATCTTTTCGAGTACATACTGTCAACACAAAAGTAAAGGAAAGTTGTAAATGTGAATGTGATTTTGTATTATAATTAACAATTTAAACATATTCACTTTAAAAATATATTTTGCTTTATGTCAATTTTTTTTTTTATCTTGATTATTTCATTTCATTCATCTACGCCTGAGTTTTCTTTATTCTCATATCTTTTTTCAAGGAATACTCTTGTTTACTTAATTATTATGTATTCCTTATCCTCTAAAGTATTTAGCCTCATAAGGACAGTTTACCTATAATATCTATGAATTAGTGAACTTTTCACTCGTTGTATTTCCTGTCTTTCCTCTGTTACCTTTTGCACCTTGACGTCTGTGTCGTGAAACGTCAGTGACGCACCGAGGAGGACTGGACATCCCACAATGCAACGCGGTCCCAGTGAATCTCTTCTTCATCAACACATGGCCAGTGTTTGCTAATATTGTCCTTGTTCAACTATAACCCCAGTGTCTTCTCTAAGTGTCTGTCCACTGTCACTCTGCCGCATAATGAAGGTTAAAGTCCTCTCGAGGAACCCGGATGATTATGTGCGGGAAACCAAGCTCGATATTCAGCGTGGTAAGTTCCACTCTTTAACCCCGGATAGCCTACACACTGTTCGCTAGTTGTACTGCTAGCGAACACCAGCCACACAGTGTGTTTAATAAGACCAGTCAGGCTGTTACTTTTCTAAACCATTACCTGTGACTAAAATAACAAAGTCATTTTAATTCTGTTTGGAGAAACTGTCGTTGTCTGTAAGCACGGATATAAAGGACAGAGCGAACAGGATGCATTTCAAATACGTGCTAAAAGCTACAACTTTAGCCCCTAGTTAATATCTCTAAATGAGCCTACGGCATGTGTGCAGCTTCTGTATGTCATATGAGATGTATACATTTAATAAAGTGTAAATTAAATATGTATAGCTACAAAGGAAAATCTCCACAATGACAGTTACATGTCATATATCTGTATGTTTCGGCCGGCCATCTACTTCAGTATCACCATATATATGCGAGGGGAAATGTCCTTACAGCTCATTAAGGAGTGTTCACTCTCTGTCCTTAGTCCCTAGAAACTATGACCCAACACTGCATCCGTTTGAGGTGAGCAGAGAGTACACCCGGGCTCTGAATGCCACTAAGCTCGACAGGGTGTTTGCCAAGCCTTTCCTGGCCTCTCTGGACGGACACAGAGATGGGGTGAACTGCATGGCCAAGCACACCACGAGCCTCTCCACCCTGCTGTCTGGCTCCTGCGATGGGGAGGTAACTGCACTAACTGTACTGTTTACTTCAGATTGTAACGTCGTTTGTGACACCTCTGGAACTGTGACACAACCCTACACTGTGCACTCATTCTTGAAATTAACAGGACGTTTTGTTTGATCCTAAGGTGAGAGTGTGGAATCTGTCCAAACGTGAATGTGGCCGCACGCTCCAAGCACACGAAGGTTTCGTCCGGGGAATGGTTGTCCGCTTTTGTGGAACATCCTTCTTTACGGTGACTGCTGCCCGTCAACATCTGAGAAGAATGTTATTAGTCTGTTTTTTTAGTAGCTGACCTCTAATACAGCATCTGTTTTATATCTATATCGGCATGCCGACCGTTTACAGGTTGGTGACGACAAAACAATCAAGCAGTGGAAAATGGAGACACCAGGTTACGGAGAGGAAGAGGAGCCACTCAACACTATTCTGGGCAAGGTATGATCAGAGGACATCTGCTGTAGTTTTATTCTCCAAGAAAGTTGTGGTTACATTATTATAATGATAAAATCCTGCTCTTTAGGTGACTATGACCTTTGACCTCTCAAGGGTCACATTTTAAGTTTCATCATAGTGAACCTGATTCTTGTTTTTGTAGACAGTCTTCACAGGACTGGACCATCACCGGAAGGATGCTGTGTTTGCAACATGTGGCCAGCAGGTGGACATCTGGGATGAGCAGAGGAGCAGCCCAATCCGCTCTTTCACCTGGGGCGTAGACAGCTTCAGCTCTGTCAGCTTTAACCCTGTGGAGGTAAGACACCATGTATCCACCATGCTCCGACGGGCCTCGTCCTGTCACACACTTTGTCCATGTTCAAACTCACAGTAATAGTGGTTACACTCAGACTTCTTTAAACCTGCCACCCTGCGGATCTCTTTAGAGTTACTTGTTTACGTCTTTCCACAGACTGAACTCCTTGCAAGCTGTGCCTCCGACAGAAGTATAGTACTGTATGACATGAGAGAATCAGCACCACTTAAAAAGGTAGGCTCTACTTCTCACTTGCTGCAGGATCCCCCCCCCCCCCATTTCTTCACAATGACGTGATATGATTTATATCTGCTGTGTTTCCATTTTCTTCTGTAGGTTATTATGACAATGAGAAGCAACACATTATGTTGGAACCCCATGGAAGCTTATTACTTCACAAGTTCAAATGAGGACTACAAGTGAGTTGATTGAGAGTGATTGTTACACATGATAGTATTTCTGTTGGCACTGAATTAGGTCTGCTGTTTGCATTCTCAGGAGTTGGGAGTCTTACTGTATCTTTTGTAGACCTTCCAAACAGATGGGTGTTCAGAGCATGGACTCATTATTGTTTTACTGATGTGCTCTCCATTAAGGCACAGCTTTAACAATGGTGTTGTTCTTTGTCCTGTCAGCCTCTACACATATGACATGAGATACCTGGACCGGCCAATCACAGTGCACATGGACCATGTCTCTGCAGTGCTGGATGTTGACTACTCTCCCACTGGAAAGGAGTTTGTGTCTGCCAGTTTTGACAAAACCGTCCGCATCTTCCCCAAGGACGGTGGCCACAGCAGGTTAGTAACACCAGTTTAAAAAATGACCATTGTCATTGTGTCATTTATTTACTATGATTTCTTTTCTGGTCCATAAGTACTCGTTCCGTTCTGAATGAACTATGATCGGGTCAAGTTTTCTTTTTTCTTTTTCTTTATATTTACTTTATTCAATATACTGTTTATTCATGTTGAGTGTGTTTATTGGGTCATATCGTACTCTTTGAGGTATTGATATTAAACTGATAGTCAAGTTTGTCCTATTATGGCAAGTCAAAATGTCTGCTGTGAAAAAGGCCTAATGGCCACATAATAGTAGCTTGTTGGCAAAGTTAATGTGGGGATGCTAATTGTTTTGACCGACCTTCTCAACCATAAAAAAAACAGCCATTGTTTGGTTGCTATGTGACGTAATGGTACATGCAGTATTGTTTGTACATTGGTCAAGATCCAGAACAAATAGCCACAGTTGTGTTACAGTTGCTGGACAGCATCACGGCATGGGCGGGTCCGAGCTTAGAATGCTACATAAACACTATGTGTTGTAGCAACAGTTAAAACCACTTTGAGGTTGACTATAAGCAGAAATGTGGTATTCCTTTACCTCGTTTACAGCACACATTTTCACTTGTCATTAAAGGTGAAGCACACTTACTAAAATGGACTGCACTTGTATAACACCTTTGTAGTCTGCCAACCACTCAAAGTGCTTTACACTACACGTCACATTGACTCAGTAATGGCAACTAAATCATTCACACACATTCATATACTGATGGCTCAGCAGTGGGAGCAATATGCGGTTCAGTGTCTTGCTCAAGGACACTCTGACATTCAGCAGGAGGAGCTGGGGAGCAAACCGCCAACCCTCTAATAGTGGACGACCCGCTCTACCTCCTGAGCCAGAGCTGCCCAATAACTATATAACTTTAATAATGGCTGCATAATATCTTTAACCATGGCTAATGGCAGCCCCAGTTGAATTAGGCTAACCTAAAGGTTTTTTTATTATGCTATTTTGAAAAAAAAAAACAAGACTGACACAAAATCCACAGAAACTAAGCTTAAATAAACCTTGAACCTGAACCTTTGCTATCCTCCCAAATTGTTTGCCAGCCCCCTCCAGCCTGTCAGTTCCTAACACTGAGTAACTGAACCTAGCAAGTTGTTTTGGAGAAAGCTTTCATCTGAAAGTACACTTCCCCAATATCCCCGAAAGAAAAACAATAGCCTCAGTCATTTTAACAAATATCCAAAAATAATACATGTTTATGTTCACTTGACAAAGCCCTCTAGTGGCCGCAGTAGTAGACTTATTTCACAGCGGTCATTTTGGCATGTTATTGCAAGAAAAGCACAGTTGTAATCAATAACATTAATAGCAACTGCATTCCATTTAGATTTTCCAGTTCCAAGGCCGTGCTGTTCTGCATGCTAGCTCACTAAAATGCTTACTAGGACACTGAATGCAACTTTCGTTCTATGACGAGTCAAAATGTCTGCTGTGAAAAAGGTCTATTAAGACTATTTTCCGTCGGGAGCAAACGAGGAAGCAATGTGACGCTCTACAGCCTACAAAGTGAACAGATAGTTCTACAAAACGTTTGCAAACCAGAACGATATGCATAAGTTTACAATGAGTTTTACAGCAGCATAGTACTCCTGATCAGTATGTATAATCCTCTGTATTGTAATATTTGATTCTGTATTTGGTGTTGGCTAATGAAGGAAACATAATGTCTTATTTAATTTTTTAATTTAGGGAAGTGTACCACACCAAGCGCATGCAGCATGTCATCTGCGTAAAGTGGTCAGCAGACAACAAATACATCCTGAGCGGCTCTGACGAAATGAATATCCGACTGTGGAAAGCCAACGCGTCTGAGAAGCTAGGAGTGGTGAGTCCCGCCTTTTTATATCATCCCCGCTTTCACTTGTGTTTTCAGCTTCCGTCGATGTCATATTTAAGGCTTACTACTTATTGGCTGCTTCTTGGTAAGCAGTAGGTAGTGGCCTGTGCACCAGTCAACAGCTGTATTTCCCTAAGCTGTCAGCCGCACCGCAACTGCCTCCAGTGTATTACCTGATCTTGTTTTATGAGTTAGCTGCATTCTTCGACACAGCCATGGCCCTGTGCCCACCTCAGCAGGATAACAGTGGGTGACTATGCCAGCAGCTACCGTTGCCAAATGCCCTGATGGATGCTGACTTAGGGTAGAATCACTCTCAATAAGTACAATGTACCAATTGGCACAGCAACTCCTGTGGCAGGTGGAAGTCCAAAAAACTCAAAAGCTTGTGCAGTTGTTTGACAAATTGCCAGCAAGAGATTCAGCTAAAAGACCGTTTTCCTTTCCAGACTAATCCCCACTGACTTTTAATATCCTGTTTAGTGAGTACCACATGTACTGTATTCAGATAATATAGGCTGTATTAGCAAAGGCGGTGGCCTTAATGTTGTGTTATGCTCAACTGTTACACAAAGCTCCTGTAAAAAGCTGGGAAGTGTTCCAATGCCCCAAATCCCAGTTATGGCTGAATAATAAAGATCAATGGCATCTCATGTGCCATCTCCAACAGCCATCTTTCATCCATAATCGGATTCACTCTTGCTTATTCTCTTAATGCAGCTTCAGAGTGGAAAATTGGCCCGCTTTTGGCACTTGTTTTACTGTCACGGTGTAAGATTTATTCGCAAGCTTTGCACTTAAAGAGATCAGACAAGGGCTGCTCCTATCAGCAGTTTAAATCGGCCAATCACTTAAAGCGGGCCACTCCGAAGATAATGAAGCATTAACAATCAAGTTGTACTGAAAGGGTCTTTAATTATCAAGAAATGCTGAAATGCTGAATCAAGGTTTTGTCTGTGTCTGAAGGCATCACACTGGACCGATCGGGTCTTCTCCATCAGCTGCTGCACATCACTAATGTTTTTTTATTTCTCATAACTTTGCAGCAGCGGCCTTTGACTCCAGTGGAAATTAGACCCTTTGTATTTTAGGCCAAGATCAAAACATGTTGAATCAATCAGCTCCTATTTATTTTCAGTGAGGTAAAATTAATTTCCCCTGCCCTAGGAACCTTGACTCATCACTGCCCATTGATTTAAGGTTGGAAAGCCAACTAAATCCTTTTGAAAAGTTTGGATTGATGGGCATTGATGTGCTGTGTTACTGTTTACGACTGCTCCATTGATCCAATGAAGAGCTGCCACTTTTGAACTATATTAAGGTATTTACAGTCTGATTTGAAATAGATCATGTAGGATAATTGTGGATCCTTTCTATTATGATAACATTGTTCTTACCAAGTGGATTGCCGACATCAGGAAACATGGTGACATTGCTAAAGTCAGAGTGGGTAACAACCACGGACTGCATAATGAAAGCGGTGGAGCAACAACGGCAAGTGTTCAGCCACAGTACTGCTGTGTGGTCACCCGTGTCAGAACCCAATACGCAGTCAATGTAGTTACACATGTAAAACACAAGAAAATAGGCTTGAAGCCTAGAAAGACACTTATGTGCAAGTGAAACTTGAGCCATGACGCAGCCATTGTAGACAGCTGTATTGATTTTAAAATAGAAGTGTGTCTGTTCTTCAGATACGGCTAAGACGTCTCCTGTGAAGATCAGGTGCAAGAAACACGAGCAGTCAGACAATCTTAAAGAGTACCTCACCCATTTAGCATTTAGCAGTGTAATACTGCCAGCCACTCACACATCAGACAGTTAAAGTAAAAAAACTGATGCAGCAGAGCCAGAAATACCGTCTTTCTTTGAATCCTCATTCTTCTTCTTTGTCAAACCTGTCGCCTACATTGCCCACAATGCAACTTGACCATTGACCACACCTGAATGTTCAACTGACAGTTCGGTTGAAGATAAAAGTGTGTTATTTTTTAGTAGCGGCTAATGTTATTTCGAGCTGCTAGCCTCAAGATGAGGAGGAGACTGCAAGGTTAGCTCACTTCTTTCTTTTTTCTTCATTTTCAAACCTTATTGACACTGACTCAACTGATCAGCAAGGTCGGGCCAGTTCCCCTGTAAAGGTTTTAAGCAAACCTGCAGGTTAACTAAACTTATTTGAAAGAGACAATGAACACACACTGTAAAATGATGAAGTTGTAAACATCCATTACAGTTTACAGACCGACCTCCTGGTTCTACTTTGACTTACTTTACTTAGGAAAACCGCAAAACATAGCCGTAAAACTACGGCTATGTTTTGCGGTTTTCCTTTACAAGAAGGGATTATTACTGACATTTTGAGCGTGTTTAATGTTTACCTCCAAAACTGCTTGTTCCTTATTTGTATGATCTTGTATTTTTTGCCCCACCTTGGGTCATAGTCACACTGCCTATCAGCGGTGTATACATACAATACACAACCGCACACACGCCTGATGCAGCTTTTTCAGCGCCGTGGCCGCCACACACTGCTCAGGTAGGCAGTGTAAACACTGTCGCCGTCTTCCCAGATCCCAGCAATTACTTTAATAGATGCAGTTTTATCATAACTGATATAAGCCTCATTTCTCTGCCATGGAAAAAAGACGGGAAGTAATTCTCTGTTCAAGCCCGTTGAATCATGTATTTCTGTGATTGTCTTTGCTATAAAAGTAGAGATCACACGAGCCTCACTGTCCACACAGAATCAAAGTGAAGCATCATCCTCTGCTTTCATATCCATCCTGTTGAGATTATGCAAACAACATTTAGCAGGCTAACCATGAGTGTATCCAGGGGAATTAGTTTAGTCCAACAGGATCAGCGCCTAACAGCTCTTCTCCAACAAATTAAATCTGAGACAAATCATTGCTTTTAATTAGAATAAAAGCCTTCGAGGAGGGCAGCCTTAGCCAAGACAAGTCCGAGTAGCTGGTGGTTTTTATGAGGGAGAGGGAGGGATGTTGTTGAGCTGGTGTCTTCACTTTTTAACAGACATTGATTGAGTTTTGAATGAGTGCATTGTCAAGATGAAGTTACTGCTTACTGTACTGGCCAACATTTTATGATGTAAGACAGCATACGGGAACTGTCAGTAATTAACGTAACACCACCTGAGCTGAATGCTAAACCTGTATGGCCTCGTTAAAGTGGCTGAAGTAAAATAAAATAATTTGATGAATCTTGTAGTCAGCAGCAAACTCTAGCCTCACAGTGGTCTACTGGAAAATCAAGACATTTTGGAAAACAACTCGGATAATGCATAATTCTCGCTACAGTTCTAAATACAACTTTACAAATGAAATGCCTGTAACAGGGCCACTGACTCATCTCTAGGGGAAGTTTCAGAAACACAATCAGCAAGGGCCAGAAGCCTTACAAAGAGAGTTGGATCAGATGCTGAAAATGTCCAGTGTTTATCTGTAAAGGACGTCTTGTAGCCATGTGAATTAGAAGCAACATTTTGGGGAAAGTCTGCTCGGATTCTTTTCTGTCTTGCCAAGAGTTGGATGAGAAAATTGATACCACAATCATGTCTGTCCGTTGAATGTGAAGCTTTTGCCAGCAGTCAGTCAGTTAGCGTAGCACGAAGAGGGGAAATGGCTCACCTGGCAGACACTGTATGGATTTATAATCTCAAATTGGTCAAACATTGGACATCTCACCACAGTACAGTTACCAAATAGCTAGCTGTACTGGAGCTTTCAGGCACTTCGCGCGGCCTTTATCAGCAGATGGAATTTGCCCAGTTGACATGGTACTGGTCAAGAATGAACTTCAGTCTTAGCTTTTAAGCCAACATTGATGAGTCCTTCATTTTTATGACAAATGGGCAAACTTATGGTGCTGATTGTTTATCTGCTGTTTCCAAGGTCAAGAAAGAACTTTGAATCCCAACGTCAGAAGCCGTCTTTTTTTAATCCAAACCACGACCTTGATTTCAACTGCCTCGATCTATCCAAACCATAATAATGGTATATCAGAAGCGTTGTAAGAATTTTGGAAGGCTCTGACAGTGTCACTCTCAGTCACATCTGAAAATGTCACTGTCCATTTTTAAAGGCAATCATAAACGACCATTTTTGTCTCTTTGTCTTTTGTCTCTCGTGTCCTGTAGCTGGCCCCGAGAGAGAGGGAGTCCAGAAACTACAGTCAGAAGCTGAAAGAGAAGTTCCAGCACCACCCGCAGATCAGACGCATCACTCATCACCGACATCTACCCAAGAACGTCTACCACCAGAGCAAGGAGCTGAGGATTATGAAAGAGGCCCGCCGTAGGAAGTATGCGTTCATTATTTTACATTTCCTTTTTTTGGAATATGAACAGAGCTCGCTAATTTCTGTATAGGAATGGCATGACGTCCCCTCTGTGACCGCGTAGAGGTGATGGTGGCTTGGCCTGCTGCCAGGGCAGGTCCGACCTATGCAGTCACACCAGCCTAATGGAAAATCTCACAGATGGGACTGCCCCCTATGACATGGTCTCAATAGGCCTTACATACTCATTTACAGCTTGTATGGTGGATTGATTGTCCCAGTTTGCCCTGGCGTCCAGTGATTCATAGCTCAGTCTGCGTTTATTTTTCTAATTACCGGCAGTATGGAGACACGGCAGACGTGCGTTTGGACTGTGAATGATTTACTATCCATGCTTTATGCATTATTTTCAGGGTACATTGAGTGTAGTCGGTGACGTAGGTGTTAGGTCAACAATCTCATGTTCAGTCTCTTCCTCCTTTCTGTTTGCTGATCCCTCCCCCCACCTCTTCTCTCTACTTCCTGAATATTCTCACCAGCAGATTGTTTCATTCATGGCTCTTCTTCTTTTTTGTTTTCCAGGGAGAGGAATGTCCGCAAGCACAGCAAACCAGGAACTGTTCCTGTGGTGTCTGAGAAGGCAAAGCATGTTGTGACTGTGGTCAAATAGACAGAGGCCATCAAGAGATGAGGTGAAGCCCAAGATCACACCCACATGGGACATTTGAGTGGGACATTTTAAAGAAAAAGTTTGAATTTGTCAGTTGCGGGAAGGACAAGTGGCAAGTTCTGCATCATTGTAAATGCTCGGACACAGACTGTAAATGCATACAAACAACAAATCTCATAAAGCATTCTTTCTTTGTCACAAATTTGGGTCCTGTATTTGAGTGATAAATCCCACATTTTACTTTGAGCAAGTTTGCATTTTTTATTTCAGGATTTAATCGATTTAAATGAAATTGATCCAAATATTTCAAGGGACCTACTTGAAATGAATAATGTTCCTTGTGGTTTCATTACACAGTTTTTTGGGGTTTTTTTATGAATGAAGTTCCAGAAATGTGCTATAGTTGTTTATTAAAACTACCAGAGATGGTGTAAAGGTTTCATTACGCTTCAAATGACCTGCCGTTCGACAATCAAAAGGAAAGTGTTCTGTTACCAGTTGCCACAGTCAAAGGCTTGTCTAAAAGCTATATAGCTATATAATGTTGCACATATGGGACAGTGTCTCTCATGGTGCTGCACTCAGTGGTACACATGAAAATTGGTGGCTATGACAAGAGTTTTAGAGTGAAGTTCAAACCCTTTCTTGCTTTCTATTACACACTTGGGCACTCACTCCATAAAGTGGACGCCATTTCCCAGCGTTTCACTAAGTCAACAAAGTTTTTTTTTTTTTCTTAATACAGGATTTTAGTTTGTAAAATAACCGCCCTTAAAAAGAGCGAGAGGTTTTGTCTTATTAACTTCCTTCAGTCGATCCATGTCTCCCCTTAGTTTTGGAATATCATATTACCTACAAGCTAGGTAACATGTTACAGAGCATGCTACACTCAAAATCTATATGTACATGGGACCTACACTATTTGCTGATGTGTATTTATAATAAACTTCAAATTTTTCTGTGAAAACTCAACACAAAGTTCCTTTCTTGTTGTTGTACATGGGTCACTACAAAGGTGCTAATTTACTTACAGCCCTAATGAGTTAGAGGCTCTATCCTCTTAATGTTGTCCTTTAAATCCTATCAGCACTTAAGCCTGAGAGAGAGAAAGAGAGGGAGCTGTCTTTGGGAAAGGGTCGGCAAGACGAGGAAGGACTTCAGGGGTCAGAGCTGGGAATATCACCTCTTGGAGTGTGGCAGTGGAAAGGGTTTACGAGAGGGTGCATCTGGGTGTCGAGAGCTGCTGTTCATTTTGCTTCTGCAAACAATTGTTCAATACAGTGTAATGTGATACCTGGAGTCAGTTTCGGAGGCGTTTCTGGCTTTTTCTGTGACAACCACAATTGTTTTGTGCAACTAACAATTTTATTTATGATTGATTAATCTACCAATCATTTGATCTGTAAAATGTCAAGAAATGAGAAAAACATGCTCATCACAAGTTCACAAAGCTCATGGTAATGTCTTATTTTGTTTAACTAAATGGTCCAAACCCTAACACATTCATTTTAGTGAATATATACAATACAGAAACTCGAACCAGTGATTTTTTTTGTGATATTTTCTTCTTAAAACTATATTGCTTTGGCAGTGAGGTGCATGAACACAGCTCACAGGCCTTGTGTAACCACTATTCTTCCATTCATCATCAGAAAATTTCAGCTGTGAAATAAAAGATTCATCAGCTGGCAACAACAAAGCCAGTCTGTACTGTACGCTGAATAAAACAGGACTGACCAGAACCACTGCCACACCTGCACTAACAGTCATCCTCACTACTCATTTTCTGTATTTATCTTCCCACTTCACATCCTCTCTCTCTCTCTCACTCACACACACACACACACACACACAGTGCTCATGATCTGGTTATGAAATATGCATCAGGCTCTTCCTGGTATAGGGTGCTGCTCCAGCTGCACACACACACACACACACACACACACACACACCCTCCAGTCCGTGTTTTCGCGGCTGCTGTCTGCCTGCTGTCAATGAACATCCAGCGCGTCCTCTCGGCTTTATTCTTTTACGTGTTTCCATCGCTCCGCCTCTTCTTCCTATCTGGATTTTTTTCCCCTCCCTCTCTCTCTCTCTCTCTCTCTCTCTCTCTCCCTCACCCTCTCTCTCTCTCTCTCTCTCTCTCTCCTCTCTCTCTCTCTGTCCCTCTCTCTCTCTCTCTCTCTCATTGCATCCATTTTTTGTGCATTTAAGAAATCTCCAAGAATTACCAACCTGGAGGAAAGCGAGCTAACCAGAGTGACAGAGGAGGGTTAAGGACTCCAAACGAAAACAAACAAGGACGGACCGGGCACCCTTTTATTCCAACATGCGGGTGAAAGCTTTCTAAAGGATGGCAGCGATGGGTTAGACAGGATTTAACATGACTGCAAAATAAAAGGCAAGAGTTGTTTTTGTTTTTTAATCCTCTGCATTTTTCTACTTCTTTTTTTTTTTCTTTCTTTCTATCCCTGGATGGATGGAGGCTTGGTGTTTGGAATACCTGGAGGTTGTAGCCTACAGCCTGTGCACTCCTGCTTCTTTTAAGGGCATCTAATCTTGAGTGTTTTCTATTTCAGACATTTTCATGTGTAAATTCCGCCTGCCACAGCTCGAGTATTGCGAATCCCCTGTTTGCAGGCAACGCTCATTCGGCTGCAGCGTATTTGCTAACTCCATTATGAGCGTTTAATAGATGAGGATGAAGCCTGTAATTGATATTTTGACGCTTATTTCTGCAGCACAGTGTACCTACTATGTGCATGATACTCCCCAACCGAGATGTCATGCCGCCTCTGAGCCGCCGCGGTGCCTCCAGCGAATCCCACCGCCAGTTTGAATTCTGACAGCTATGAAATGTAACACAAATATCGCCCAGAATGCTGCTGGTTGACGGTGCTTTTCTCGTGTTTTTTTAGCCACTGTGTGTGTAAAAGATGTCTGCTCCACACGGGCCCCGGGGCGGCCCTGGCCCTGCTGCTGCTGCTGCTGCTGCTGCTGCTGCTGCTCCTGCCTCAGCGGCCGGCGCCATGCCGGAGATGCCGGACCTGCCGGACCTCAGCCACCTCACCGAGGAGGAGAGGAAGATCATCCTCGGTGTCATGGACCGACAGAAGAAGGAGGAAGCGAAGGAACAGTCGATGTTAAAGTAAGAAAAAGCGGAGTTAGTGGGAGCTGTCGGTGGTTGTCGGCGGTGGTGAATAAGCCCTGGGTGTTTGTGGGCTGTTATTACAGTGGGAATCTCTAGAATTGTCTCTCTGTGAGATGCTGGTGGCTCATGTTGCCTCCTGACATCCAAGCTAGGGCTTAAACAGTCGACTGCTAGCCGACAGCACCAAGGTGAGGCGAGTCTGTCCCTCGCTCGGTTCTCAGCTCTTGGCTCCCCCCTTTTCAGCAAATACTTTATTTGAACGGCTGGGTATGGTTTTACAATGCGGCACACACACACTCCAACCTCTTTCCCCCCACTTTGTTGTAGCTATAGCTGTACTATAATGGGCTGGGTTAGCAGCGACGGGCGCCATTTTCACGTAAAAAGCACGCCAAATTGCTTAACCTTTCCCCACGAACGTCACCGAGCTTACACAATATGACACTGGAAAGATCATTTAAGGTGTCCTTTGTGGTGATGGCGCACGCGGGGTGTGTGTGATTTCAACGTTAAAGTCTCGGTAGATCCTGTCTCCCCCTCTCCCCCCCCTTGTGTACAGATGTCGCTCGGAGCTGTTTCAGCACCACGGCGCTGTCCACTGTAGGGTTTTAGTTTTTAAGGTGGACCGGACTGTTTCCGCCATCATCGCTTTAACCTTTACTGTGTGAGCCATAACTCTGCTTTATGGCGGAATATTACACTCTATTGTCTTGCCCCGGTCATAAAAACACACTCAGTTGATGTATTGTCAATTAGAAATTTGGCCCGACCTCCCTGGGAAAGCCGGGCTAATGAAGAGAGAGGTATTTCGGGGCGGTGGCCTTAAATATTTCCATCCTGTTGATTTTTCTTGTAGTTTTCCTTCTTCAATGAAAAAAAGATGCACATGCTTGCATGCTCACAACCCCGGAGATACAGTGTATAGTGCAGCATAAAGATACATTAGGAGTGATAACTGATGAGTAAATCAGATCTCTGGCAGCTTTCACTGCTGCTGCAGCCTCCCAGCATGGCTAGTGACATTAGTGTAAAAGATGTGTGCCACCATCACTGGGAGCTTTTTAGAGGCATTAGAGCTGTTGTTTTTCCATCATCAGGTAAATATTTGGACTCAGGCAGCATTCCTAATGGAGTGAAAGTTGTGCAATCCCTACCTAGTGCTGCTGCATGATAAACATGACTCATGTACTCCAAGACACGGCTACCTCAGCCGTTGCGGTGCGTGCTGTGTGAATCATCCAGGCCTTTTCCGCCTTCCCTCCGCTTTCACTGTCTCCCCCCCTCCTCCTCCTTCTCCTTCTCCCCAATAGCTGAATGTTTTTCCTATTTCTCTTTCTCTGAGGTAAAGGGGATTGTCAGTTTTAGTCACTCTTAGTCTGACAGTGATGTCAAAGCCTTGTCATGACTGAGCATGGGCAGAAGAGGCTGACTGACTGACTGACTGACTGTCTCATCATAATGTTAGGTAACTCTGATTGCAGGCCACACAAGCTGAACACATACAAGACATTGGGAGGTCAAAGAGGCCTTTGTATTGATTGCTTGCGTGCTAATTTGCATAAGAATTATGTTTCCAGCATGCCTTGGTTACCTGGGGTTTTATCTTGCCAGCAGGGCTGGAGCTACTGCAGATGCTTAGCAGCTGACAAAAGACATGGAGTTAATATTAAGGGCTGGTTGCCACCATTTTGTTGTGTTTGAGATATTCTGAGTCGTCAAAAAAGTGTGCAGGAGACCTCTTGACCCCCTTTTGGCCTAATAGTAAAGCTTCCTTCCAGTATTTCATACAGCAAGACTGGTTAGTTTTTCTGTGTTCTGTCTATATGTACAAGGTGACTCATCATGAGTCATCAAAACAGTAAATCCCCACTTTCTTTACCTATGAATCACACCAGCATAACATATCCTAAAGCAGAATTAATATCCTCAGCCCTGGCATAGGTACAACCGCAGTGGATTAACTTGTCGTTGGATTGGTTTCGTAGCATCTCCAGCAGTGTCGGAAACAAACACCCACACTGCAACATCCAACCCTATAGCCTGTGCATCTGCGCTGTCGCAGTCACGGTCCAATCCCACAGAAGCTTGGATGGCTTTTTCAGGAAAGTGGCAGTTTGAACATCGAAGTGTGTAATCTAACAGAGGGAATCCTGGGAGGATGGAGGGATGGAGAAGAGAGAGGAAGAGGGAGGGAGAGAGAGAGAGAGAGAGAGAGAGAGAAGCCTCCAGCTGCAGGGCTTGCCAACTTGCTGTCATCTCACTGGAGGTGCTACAGAGAGCGTGGATGGAAATCCAGTGCTGCTGACTCGCATGTAATTAGCTACTCTCTCCTAGCCTGTTCTTTCTTAGCAAGCCTGCGTGTCTACATGTAGAAAATGTGCTGCACCAATGAGAATCAATTTCTAAAGTCCATAAGGTAGCGCACTACATACCTATAGCTTTGTATCCTAGTAGAATTATATCCTAAAAAGCTCATCAAAGCTGCTGCTGTAGAAGTATAATTACAGAATCTTAACATTTCTACATACAGAAACATGTACAGCATGGCCCCAGGTGCTACACTGGAGCTATCAGCTATCTTAGCTTCCCATGCATCAGCGAGTCTCTGAGCAGTACAGTAATGGTGGTTATGGGACCCCCACCCCCACCCACCCAGATACTGTGTGTATCCCACAGGCAGGCATCAGCTGCCTGTGATGATGGGGTGACCCACAGAACGCCCGGGGCTCCACTTCTCCTTTCTCCCTGTTCCTCCAGTCCTCTAGGGCTGCTTCCTGGTTCTGCTTGGTGGCGAGGAGAGGTCGGAGCAGGAGGGGGTCAGGAGGGGCGTAGTGATGTTCTCCATCCTAACTCTGACTTTCTCTTTCACACCTCTACCCTCTAACGCTTTGTCACTGTTTCTGTTTCTCTCGCTGCATATAGTGTTACCTGTATTATGGGAGCATGGGCTCATATTCGAGCGCACAGACATAATCTCGCCACAGAAAGATGGCGAAACTTTGACCTTTAGGTGACGTGTATCATAACACATATCACTGAGTGATTTAAGCAAAACGTCTTATCTACCTATATTTATTTATTTACCTATATTTCCACTTTAAAAACCACATAGCTAGTGTCCCAGTAAATATCCCAGTCCGTCCTCTTCCTTGTGACAGTGTTCAACTCATGAATTGGGGGGACTGTGTCATTCGCCCAGGGACCTCCTTTGACAGTGCTAATTATACTGGCTGCCTTGTAGAAGGGACTCCCACTGAGATGCAGCTATTCCAGGGCCCTGAGGTGTCTGCTGCTCTGCCATTTTTGTTGCACAAGACAAAGAAGGATGCCCCGTGTTCCCGTTGCGTGTCCTGTATGGGAACATAATGTGTATCAGGAGGTTTTATGGTGAACATTTTGTTCATTTTGTTGTAGACCACCACCTGAGAGCATTTGTGTCCCAGGGACCCCGACATTGAACAAAAAAAAATTGAATTTCCATTGCATTGGGGGACAGCAGAAACCAAGATATCCTGACTTTTTGTCCGTAATATCAAAACACAGTATCTTACCTGAAGACATCATCAGGGTTATTTTCTCCAGACTCTCTCTAAAGACAACTATTTTCAGAAACTGTTTGTCACGAGTCAGCTAATCTCAGTGTGTAAAATTGGTGTAGTGTCCCTTTAATTTCAGCCATATTTTCCAGCCCTATTTTAAATATGACCACGTTTCTATATACACTGTTACACTGCAACTATTTATAGAACTGCATCGTCCCTGTTTACACTATTACACTACACTGAACACTGGGAGGTAATAGTGATGAGAATCCACAAGATATTCATTATTTAATTTAGACATTTTATTATGAATGAGAAATTGTTACTAGTTAGCATAAAACACAGCTTTGGTGAGAGGTGTAGGGGGCTGGTGTGTGTGTGTGTGTGTGTGTGTGTGTGTTCACCATGAAGAACACTGACCTAGAATTAGCTTTGATTGATCACATCGCATTTCCTTTTTCTGCTACCCTCACCCCTTCCCCCACCACACATGCACACTCCCACACCTCATCCCCCTGTCCTGGTCATTTATCTGATAGTGCTAGAGAGCTCCGTGTACCAGCTGGGGTTAGAGCTACAGAGAGGCCCTGTGTCCCTGGAGGAAATACAGTAGGATCTCAGCCCCTCTGAGAGAGTAGCAGTAGAGTACACAAGCACAAACACTTCACCGAGGCCTAATGCATCAGTGTTGTTAATGTGTTAATTAATGTTAAGATTTTCTGGAGACTGTGAGCAACCCCGAACTTAAATACAGATTAAGTGACTGCATCTTGGTGGACAGACACAAACCTGGCAACCCAAAGAAAACACACTGTGTCAGCTCTGCAAACAAGAGCAAATTCTTTACCAGAATCTGTCGGATATCAAAAATTGAAAAAACTCTTGGATGAAACAGTTATTTAGAAAAACTGTCATTCGCATGGAAGCAGCAAAATATGAGAAAACCAGTGAAACACCACTTGTATCTGTGCTGAGCTCCTTCAGCATGTAATGTACAGTATGTTGTGTAATGTACAGTGTTGCAGTGTATAATGTGTACAGTGTAGTAATATAGTGTCTTCTTGCAATCTAAACAATTGCTGTTCCAGTGTAAATGCTGCACAACCCACTCTAGCAATACTGTACTTAGTTATGTTCAGGCCAAAAAAGCAAATTTAAAGAAAAAAAAAAACAGAGAGAGAGAGAGACCTATGGTTCTGAAATGAGGCAAGGCAATGCTCAGAAGCTCCCCACTGGACAATATACAGTATACACACACACTCTCTCTGCCTTCCTCTTGTTCCCTTAGCTCACTCACCCATGCTCACTCGCCTTCCCATGCAAAGAGCAGATTCTGTCATGAGCGTTCCAGAGACTCCCATCCCCCACCGCTTTCCCCAAGGGAGAGAGGGAGAGAGAGAGAGAGAGAGAGAGAAAGTGGAAGAGTGGATGCTGTCTTGACTCCATAAAGCAGAA